TTTGCTTCCTTCTGGCTTGGCCATGTCCTGCCCCACACCGTGTGGGGATGTCCCTGCGCTGGAGGCTGGATGAGGCCTGCTTTGGGTGAGCAGGATTTGGGATGGTGCAAGGATGCGCTGGTAGCCAGGCAGAGCTGGGAGCAGAGGGACATGGCTGGAGCAGGGCTGGCATGGAGCTGAGGCCAGGGCTGACACCAGAGGGTGGTGTGGTCTCATGTATCCCCAGCACCAAACCCTCTGAGCTGCTCAGGCCCTCCATTCACTATGGAAACCTGTTGGACCTTGCAGCACCACAGGCCAGGGTGAAGGGCAGTGGGCGACTCATCTGGGAGCTGCCTCCATCCTCGGTGGGGACAGGCAGGAGCTTGTCCCACTCCCAGCCGTGTCTTCAGTAGGCAGGACCCCAAAACTGGGCTCCAGGCATTGCTCACCCATGGCCTCGACTGTGCCCTGCTCTGTGGTGGGGACACAACTTTTGGGGACACAAGGGGGCCACTGACATCCACCCACGCTGTCTCACAGTGGGGACTCAAGCTCTCCGCAGTCAGGCAGATACTGTGAGATGGGGGCTGTTTCCTTCATCATCCAGGACATCACAAAACCACAGGAGCCACATCTTCACTACAGTCAGTGTCCCCAGGGGCTGTGGCAGGGAGGGGACAGGCAGGGCTGGGAGAGCCACCACTGGAGACACATCACTGCCCTGACACATTTGTAAGAAGAGGACTTGGAGACAGCTTTTATTTTTTTTTTTTTTTAGAGACTTTTATTTTTTAACAGACTGGTTTAAATTTTTGTTTTCTACAATAATTCAATGTAAAAATCCCGGTACAATATACAACAGTTTGAACAGTTGGAATAAGAAATCCAGCTTGGGGAGACACGTAAGTTCAGCTAGGTTCTAACACAGGTAGCAAATCCCCTCCACCCTCCCCCAGATTTCCCAGCCAGGAAGGCATATGGACAGGAATGCTTTACAGATGTCACCCCCATCCCTTCAAGACACTGGCTGCCCTGTCCCTGCCCGTATCGCAGTTGGGACAGTCCCTCAGACGCACCACCTTGGAAAAGGCAAGGTCCCCTCTGTGGGATGGCTGGGACATCAAGGCAAAGTCTGCGGTCAAATGAGGCTGGTTGGCCCTTGTGCGTGAGTGATGTGGGATGCTCTGAGCAGGCCCTGCGGGCAGGTCCCTCAGGGTATGGGACTCCCTTGGGATGGAGGGGAGACCTGTCCCTCCCTTTGGCAGCAGTGCCAGCAGCCTTGTGCGCTACTGCAGCCATAAGGGGGCTGGAAGGAGGTGGCCATGTGCCTGCATGGCCCAGCCCGAGGTAAGGAAAACAAAGATGATGCAAGGGTCCCTGGGTCTGAGGGGTCATCTCAGGGATAGCTCATTGGCTGGTATCTGGCAGTCTTTCAGGAAGCCACTTTGGCCTTGCCCATGGTACTCAAGCAGCCTGGAGTGGTCCGGCTCAAGCTACATGGGGTGGTCCTGCTGGAGCAACAGGGGAATGTTCTGCTCAGGCTACATTGGATGATCCTGCTCAAGCAGCCTGGAAACATCCTGCTCAAGCAGCATGGGATGTTGCTGCTCAAGCAGCATGGGATGGTTCTGCTGGAGCAGCATTAAGGTCCTGCCCAAGCAACCTGGAGTGGTTCTGCTTGAGCAACATGGAATGGTCCTCCTCGAGTAGCATGGTGTGGTCCTGCTCAAGCAGTGTGGGACGGTCCTGTTCAAGCAGGCTGATGTGATCCTGCTCAAGATGCATACGGTGGCCTGCTTGAGCAGTGTGGGGTGGTCCAGCTGAGGCAGCATGGGATGGTTCTGCTTGAGCAGCATAGAGCAGCTGCAAGTGGCAGGGATAGTTCCTCCTGTCCTGCAGCATCCCAGGCACTGCATTCAAACCCATGTCTGGCCTTTCTTGCCCCTCTTGAAAATCCTCCACTGCTCGGAGAAGTCTCCCAAAGGCAAGTTTGAAGGGATCTCAAGGGGCTCTGCTCGAGCTCCATGTTCCAAAATAATTATTGCTAGTGCTAAATCAGGACATTGGTGACTTTATCTAGTTGAGTTGTGAAACCGTCCAAGGGCAGAGATCTTCCTGCTCCCCAGTCACCAGTTCCAGCTGCACCAGCCCTAGGGAGAAGTGTTTCCTGGTGTCCAACATGAGTGTCCCTGCCTGCAAGCTGTGGCCATTACCTCTACTGTGAAAGCACCTTAAGTAGTGGGGATGGGAGTGGGAGGCTGGTTGTCCATCTAACCTAGCCCCACATCCCATCCACAACACCAAGGGCCCTTCCTGCTTGCATCAGGGATGGCTCTGCTGGTGGTGGCTTGGCTGGGCTGGTAAGGGATGGGATATAAGACAGGGGAAGAAGGAAGAGAAGGAGAAAATAACAGCAGGAGTCAGATGTGCTGGGAGGTAAAAAAGTGCAGGGAGGACAGAGGTGAAGGTGAATGGGAGAGGTCAGGCTGGCAGAAGATGAGAGGTCAGGATGGAATTGGGAGGTAAAGGAGAATGCAAGGACAATGAGAGAGGGAGGTGTGAAGTAAGGCAGGATGGTTGGAGGGTCAGGAAGGGGTGAAGAAAGCTGTGAGGTAGGTGGGACACTTTGAGGATAAGGAGGGATGGGGAGAGGGGGAGGGGTGGAGGAGCATAAGGAGAAACATGGAGACTGTGGGAGCTGAATGACAAGAGATGGTGAGACAGCCAGAGGCTGAGTGTGAGGAGAGACAGGGCAAGAGGGAAACAGCACAAATAAGGATGGGGAACAATGGGAGGCTGAAGTTCACAAGAGGGATAGAGAGACTGAGGTGGAGGAAGAAGAGGTATGAGATGGAGGATGAGGGAGAAGGTATGGCAGGTGGTGGAAAGTAGAGACCAATGAGGTATAGGCGATAGTGGAAAATGAAGGACAATGAAGAGGAAAAGAGAGCTTGGAGGAGGATGAGGAAGACTGGGCAGATGGTAGGAAGTGGAGGATGAGGAAGAACAGGCAAATAGTGGATGGTATTGGGGCATGGGGAAGGATGGAGGACAGTGGGAGGTGGAGGAGGAGGAAGGTGATGGGCAAAATGGAAGAGGAAAACAAGGAGAGATGAGATCGCAGGTGGTGGAGACAAGGAGGGAGGAGACAGAGATGAAGGAAGAAGAGGAGGGATGAAAAGACAGTGAGAGGTAGATAAGGATGACTGGAGGGATTGACAGACATTTAGGGGGTAGAAGACTGGAGGGCAATGGAGGAGGATGGATGAGGAGATGGTGGGAAACTAAAAAGAACTAAGTGGGGATTAGGAATGTCGGGGTGGAGGATTGGGTGATGTTGGCAGCTGGAGGGATGGGGCAATGGGGAAGTGAGAGTGGATATTGGGATGGGGAAAGTGGAGGAGGATGGGGGGATGAGGAGATAGGAGGAGGTAGAAGAGGATCAAGAAAGATGGGGAGGAGAATTGGAGGCGGTTGAAACAGATTGGGGCAATGGTGGGAGCTAATGGAGGATAAGCAGGGATAAGAAGATGGTAAGATATAGAGGAGGACAGAGTGATGGTGGGAGCTGATGGAAGATGAGAAGGGATGGTGAGATGTTGACATGAGGAAGAATATGAAAAGAGAGAAACCGGAGGCAAAGCAGAATGAGGCTGGATGGGATAGGATGGAGGTAGAGAAGGAAGAGAAGACATGAGGGGATGGTGAGAGGTGAATGAGCATAACAAAGAATAGGATGTGGTGGAGCAAGGAGGAGCAAGTGAGAGGGATGGGATGCAAATGTGACAGAAAGGTGAGATATGAAGGGTAATGGAGGAGCACAGGAAGAAGGGATGGGAGGTGGTGGGTGATGGAAGAGAACAATAAAGAGGGATAGGATCTAACGTAGGATGCCAGGAGCACAAAAGGGCGGGAGGGGACACGGTGGGTAATGAAGGAGAATGGCATGGCAGGGAGGGATGAGACACAGTGAATGACACTCTGGAAGGAGTATGGAAGGAGGGATGGGATGTGAAGGTGGTGGAAGAGAACATGGAGGGATAGGAGGTGATAGGTGACAATGGAGCACAAGAAGGGATGGAGGATGCAGAAGCACAGGAAGGAGGGACAGGACATGGTGGCTAATGCAGGAGCACAGAATAGAAAGGATGGGACCCAGTGGTTGGGACAGCACAGGAAGGAGATCGGACAGAATGGGATGGGTGGACAACAGAGGAGCAGCAGAAGGCAGAAGGAGAGGTGGACATGAATGATGGAAGTACAAAGGAAAAGGGATGTGATATGGTGGGTGATGGAGCATGGGAAGGAGGAACACGATGGGTGGGTGATGGGGGAGCGCAGGAAGGAAGGATGGGTTGAGTTAGGTGGGCAATGAGAGCAGAATAAAGAGGGATGGGATGTTGTGGGCAATGGAAGAGCACGTGAAGAAAGAAAGGAATGTGACTGAGTACAGAGGATAACAAGAAGGAAGGATAGGACATGGGGGATCAAAGAGCAAAGATGAAAGGGATGGGACATGAAGGATGATGGAGGAGCAAAAGAAGGAAGGGTGGGTTATGGTGAGTGATGGAGGACCTCAGGGAGGGACAGTTTAATGTAGTGAGCCTGAGGGAGGCTGGGACCTGCAGGTGATATGGGGCACAAGGGCAAGAATCCATGGGCTTTGATGGGAAAGGGGGTGTCCATGTGCAGGCTGGGGTGAGCTGCTGGGCAGGATGGGATGGGACAGGGCAGGCATGAGAAACACCAGCATGACAAGGACAATGCAGAGCCACGAGGAGCTTGGTGTGAGGTGGCAGCCCTGGCAGTGAGGTCATGGAGGACCCACAGGGTGATGACAAGGAGCCTTGGTGGCACAGTTGGGGTCAGCACATGGGGATGGCATCAGGGAGAGACAGGCGGGTGAGGAGAGGATGGGACACCGTGTGTGGGCTGGGCAGCTGGCAGGATGGTGGGGACAGAGGGACAGGATGTAGATGCATCTCCCCACCCACGGGTGCCCCAACCACCCCACCCTCCCCTCCACAGCAGCACCGGTTCCCCAGACAGGACAAGCACCATGGTCCCCCCCACCGCAGCACGGGAAGGCAGCACCGAGGGCGTGGGTGAGGGGTTTGCAGGGCCTTTATTCATCACAGGACAAGCAGGCGTGGAAGGGGGGTGCAGGATGGGCAGGGGGCCTGTCATCGGGGCAGAAGGTGCCCTTCATGCGACCTGGCGAGAAGAAGCAGGAGGACAGGGCAGGGACAAGCGTGGCTTTGCCCGAAGGACCTAGGGCTGGGAGGTGGCGTGGGGAGAGGACAGGGAGGGAGGCTGCGCGGGGGCCGGGGCTGGATCAGCCACCCCCACGTCTCAGATCTTCCCCGTTGCCTTTGCAAAGCCCTTGGCTCAGCCCCCGGCCCCGGGGGAAACGCCCCGCACCGCTATTTACAGAGTAAGACAGAACTGACCAATATTACAAATAATTAAAAGGCAGTTGTAAAAATGAGAAACCACATTCCAAAAAGTAGAGTCTTTAAAAAAAAAAAACAGAACAAAAAAACCCCCACAAACCCAAAACCAAAAAACCAAACAACCAAAACCAAACCCCCCCGATTTTTTATCAATGAAAATGCTAAAAATCACCCCGAAAGGATCTATGTACAGCAGGAGATCGCCCGCGGCAGCGCCGTGCCTGCCGGGGTGCAGGGACCCAACTTCTCGGTGGCAGGCAGGGACGGTGCCTTGTCCCCCCGGCTGCTGGTGAGGGTGGGCAGCACCTGCCCCGCACCCGGCTGGACGAGGGTCCCCGTGGGGGCCTCCCAGGCGCCGCAGGAGCAAAAGGCCATCGGTGCTGGGCCTGCTGGGCCCTGGTTGATGCTGGTGTGTCCGGAGACACAGGCAGTGAGAGCCGTCGCGGAGATGCTGACGGAGGCTGCGACGTGGCAGTGATGCAGCCTGGCTGCGGCGGGCAGCGTGCGGCCGGACGGGAGGGGGCAGCAGCTTCGGCGGCAGCAGCAGCAACAGCAAATTTTTAAGCCAAGCTGCAAGATGACAGCAACGCACAGAGCCCCTGGAGCAGCGGACGCAGCCCCCCAGCAACGCACGGAACCCCCTGGAGCTGCGTACAGAGCCCCCCTGGAGCGATGTACACAGCCCCAGAGCTATGCACAAAGGTCCTGGAGCCAGGTACACAGCCCCAGAGCAATGCACAGAGGTCCTGGAGCCATGTACACAGCCCCACAGCAACAAACTGAACTCCCTGGAGCTGTGTACGGAGCCTCAGAGCAATGCACAGAACCCCCTGGAGTGATGTACACAGCCCCAGACCAACACACAGAGGTCCTGGAGCTGCATACAGAGCCCCAGAGCTATGCACAGAGGTCCTGGAGCCATGTACACAGCCCCACAGCAACAAACTGAACTCCCTGGAGCTGTGTACGGAGCCCCAGAGCAATGCACAGAACCCCCTGGAGCGATGTACACAGCCCCAGAGCAATGCACAGAGGTCCTAGAGCGATGTACACAGCCCCAGACCAAGGTACAGAGCTCCTGGAGCTGCGTACAGAACCCCAGAGCAACGCACAGAGGTCCTGGAGCGATGTACACAGCCCCAGCCCAACATACAGAGGTCCTGGAGCTGCGTACAGAACCCCAGAGCAACGCACAGAGGTCCTGGAGCGATGTACACAGCCCCACAGCAACAAACTGAACTCCCTGGAGCTGTGTACAGAGCCCCAGAGCAGTGCACAGAGCCCCCAGAGCAGCATACAGAGCCCCCCTGGAGTGATGTACACAGCCCCAGAGCAATGCACAGAGGTCCTAGAGTGATGTACACAGCCCCAGACCAAGGTACAGAGCTCCTGGAGCTGTGTACAGAGCCCCCCGGAGCAGCGTGCATGGACTCAGAGCAATGCACAGAGGTCCTAGATTAGGGTACAGAGCCCCAGAGCTACACACAGAGGTCCTGGAGTGATGTACACAGCCCCACAGCAATGCATGGAACCCCCTGGAGCTGTGTACAGAACCCCAGAGCGCTGTGCAGAGCCCCCCAGAGCGGCGCACATGGACTCAGAGCAACGCACAGAGCCCCTGGAGTGGTGTACAAAGCCCCAGAGCAAATCACAGACCCCCTGGAGCGATGTACACAGCCCCAGAGCGATGCACGGAGCCCCTGGAGCTGTGTACAGAGCCCCAGAGGAATGCACAGAACCCCCTAGAGCGGCGTACAGAGCCCCTCTAGAGTGATGTACACAGCCCCAGAGCTACACACAGAGGTCCTGGAGCGATGTACACAGCCCCACAGCAATGCATGGAACCCCCTGGAGCCCCAGAGCGCTGTGCAGAGCCCCCCAGAGCAGCGTGCATGGACTCAGAGCAATGCACAGAGCCCCTGGAGCGATGTGCACAGTCCCAGAGAGATGCATGGAGCCCCTGGAGCAACATATAGAGCCCCAGAGCAACGCATGGAGCCCCTGGAGTGGTGTACGGAGCCCCAGAGGAATGCACAGAACCCCCTAGAGCAGCGTACAGAGCCCCTCTAGAGTGATGTACACAGCCCCAGAGAGATGCACGGCGCCCCTGGAGCAGTGTATGGAGCCCCAGAGGAATGCACAGAACCCCCTGGAGCAGCATGCAGAGCCCCCCTAGAGTGATGTACACAGCCCCAGAGCTATGCACAGTGCTCTGTGCTGTGTACAGAGCCCCAGAGAAATGCACAGAGGTCCTGGAGCCATGTACACAGCCCCAGACCAATGTACAGAGGTCCTGGAGCTGCATACAGAGCCCCAGAGCTATGCACAGAGGTCCTGGAGCGATGTACACAGCCCCACAGCAATGCATGGAACCCCCTGGAGCCCCAGAGTGCTGTGCAGAGCCCCCCAGAGCAGTGTGCATGGACTCAGAGCAACGCACAGAGCCCCTGGAGCCATGTACACAGCCCCAGAGAGATGCACGGAGCCCCTGGAGCGATGTATAGAGCCCCAGAGCAACGCACGGAGCCCCTGGAGCAATGTATAGAGCCCCCCCCAGAGCAAGGCCCACAGCCCCAGAGCGACGCAGGGAGCCCCAGGGAAGCTCAGGCACCCCCGGGCAGCTCCACCGGGTGATTCCCCGCCTGGCCCCCGGCCGGCAGCAGGAAAATAGGTCAAAACAGCCTCCTTGAAAATCACTCCTCTCTCCTGGGGCACCAACGCTGCTCTGCGTGGGGCTGGGACGCTGTCCCCCAGCCCTGGGGGGGCTCTGTACCACTGTTGGGGGGCTGTGGCCGCTGTCATCATCCCCCCTGCCCCGCTGCCTCCCCGGATAAGGCTTTTTCTGGTGGTGAGGGGGGGCAGCGCAGACCGCAGGCCACCCTGCAGCCTCCTAACCCACAATCTCTTAATCCAATTGGTGCATCTCCAAATGTAGCTCATTTTGGGTTTTTTTTCTGTTGTCGTTTTTTTTTTTTGTTTTTTTTTAAAATGCACTTGGTTTTACATTGCAGGCTGTCCGGAGTTGGGCAGAGCCAAAAGTGGAAGAAAGGAAAGAAAAAAAAAGAAAAAAAAAAAGAGAAAATAAAAAAAAAAGAAAGAAAAAAAATAAAGAAAAAAATGAAAGAAAAACAAAAGAGAAAGATGTATATTCAGCACTTGGAGGAGCAAATAACTACAAGCTGGCCCCAGGCAGGGAGGTGGGTGTGAGCTGGGGGGGGGCACCACCAGGCTGGTGGCAGGAGACACGTGTGTCCATGAGTGTGCACACACACACACACCCCCACACACGCACACGCTGTCTCGCCCCACGCTCTGCACCCAGCCACCCCCTCTCTGCTGCTGGAGGAGCCGGGGGGGGGACACCACCCGGACCCTTCCCAGCTGTGTAGGACCTCAGCAGCTTCCCCCCCACCCCCTTCCAGAGCAGAAGGGTGGCCGGGGAGGGTCCCCACTCCCAGCCCCAGCCTGGGTGACCGCAGGGACCCTCCCCGCCTCCTTCCTGCCCTGCGGCTGATGCAACCGCACCGCAACCGGGGCTGGCAGGGATGCGCTGGAGCTGGGACGGGGCGGGCAGCGCTGGCAGCGCCGCAGGGGACGGAGCCAGCACCCTCTGCCCCCAGGGTGGAGGGGGGGGGGAAACACCACGGCATCGCATCCATACATCATCCCTGCCCCGCTCGGCCCCCAGCCCTGCCCTATCTCCACCAGCAGCCACCCCCCGAGGGCCGCTCTCCCCTTCTCGGTGGGGTCCCAAGCTGGCATTCCCGGTGAGGACCCCCCCCTCCCAGTGCCGGGCAGTGGTTCCGAGGGTGGTTAAATCGGCCACCCCGGTGGGATCATCCCCACTACGCACCCCCCGGGGGGCTGCCAACACCAACGGCTCCACATCTGCTTCCTAAGCGTCCCCGAGGGGCGAGGGGGATGGTTAGGAGACAGATGCGCCCGTGCCGCCTCCCAGAGGGGGACACCCCCCCCCCATCCAACATCGGGGGCGTCAGCGCGGGCGCTCTGCCAGCAGGAGAGTGGGTAGCGGGCACGCTGCGTCCCCCGGCCCCCCCTCCTCACTCACACGAGGCCCCCGGCTTCTCCTCCGCCCGGGGGGGGTCCGCGGGGTGCAGTTTGCACTTGGAAGGGGAATGGCGGACGGTGGAGCGGGACGGGCGGGCGAAGCAGGAGGTGAGGGACTGGGAGCTGCAGTCACACGCCGTGTCCTGCAAAGATAGACAGGGCACAGGGGGGGTTAGAGGGGTCGGGCACCTCGTCCCCCGCCATGGTGGGACACCCCGGAGGGGACCCTGCCTCGTTACCTCGCTGGCTATGGCCGAGAGGAGGTCGGGGTCCCGCAGGGCTGCCTCCTTACTCCCCTGGCCGGGGGACAAGGGCTTGGCGTCCTCGCAGCTGCTCTGCTTGAGGACTTTCTTGTTCAAGACACGGGAGATGTTTTCAGCTGGATGGTGGGTGGCCAGGCTGGGGTGCTCGGCTCTCTTGCTGCCCTCCTCCCCGGTGGCCTCCTTCTTCTCTGGGGGGGCAGTGGGGCTCTGCGCCCGCCCGCAGACGTTCCTGAAGAACTCCTGCACGAGGCCGTACTTGGGTGCTTCGGGCTTGGTCCGGCTGCTTTCAGGGCAGCCCGGCTTCCAGATGGACTCGGTGCTGCCCGCGTGCTCCACCACGCTGAACAAGCTGGACAAGCCATCGTTGATGTTGCTGAGGACAGGGCTGTCCCGGGTGGTGGTGGAACGGGCCCAGGCGGAACCATTCTGCTTGCTCTGGTGCAGGTTCCAGAGGCTCCTGTCCTTGGAGGCGTCCAGCTTGGAGGAAGACCTCCTCTGGAGCTTCGGGGAGCCGTATTTTGGGGAGCAGCACGGCCTCTCGATCCTGGAGTGGACCTTATCCAGGGAGGAGGAGATCTGCTTGCTGCGCACAGACACAAGGGAGGAGCTGCGGGGGGACCAGCTCTTGCCATGGACGCCGCTGCCGCGTGGCAGGTCGGTCTGCAGGCCCACGCTCACCGTCTGGATGGTCTGTGTCCCCACGTGGGCCAGCCCCACCGTCTGGCTGGAGGTGCTTTTCACCTTCCTCTCCAGCGAGCTGGAGCGGATGGCCTGCCGCACGCAGTTGGTGATCTCCTTCATGTCGTCGCTCATGTTGCCGGAGATCTCCAGGTCGTGCAGCGAGGAGGGGAAGCGGGGCACCGGCGGCACCGCGCTCTCCACCGTGCCACCGTCCAGCAGCTCCCGCTGCTGCTTGGAGAAGTTGCACAGCCACTGACTGTAGGTGCTCTCGGCGCTGGCTGACTCCTCCGGCTCCTTGGGCTTGGCCATGGTGAACAAGAAGCCGGGTTCGATCATGATCTTCCCCTCCTTGTTGTGCACCAGAGGCGCCTCCAGCCGCCGCACCACCGGTGGGCTGTAGTAGATGCGGATCCCCGTCTTGTCGGGTGCCGTGTAGCTCCTCTGCATTTGCTTCTGGGCTTGATCGTGCCCGGAAAGGCTGCTTGCCCTTGAGTAGTCCCAGGAGGAGATGCCCAGCTTCTCCTTGGCCAGGCTGTCGGGGACAGGTTGCTCAATATTCACATATGTACAGTTGGAGGGAGGAAGGCCAGCGCTGTCCCGGATCCCGTTGGGCAACAGCTGGGCGGCCGTGGATGCCTTTTTGCCCCGGGAATGGTCGCCCAGCCCTGGCGTGGTCTTTCCAGGGAGGTAGGGAGAACAGTCGAGCAAGCTTTCAAACTCTGACATGGAGGAAACGGACTTGGTCCTGTGGGAGAAGAGAGGATGGGGTTCACAAGGGGACAAGGCAGCAGGTTGGGGGGCAGTTGGAGGCACTCCACTCCTACCCCAGAAGGACCCTCCTGGGCACCCAGACCTGCTCCTCATGGGAGCCCTTGGCCTCCAGGACAACACTGGACCATGGCTGCACCTCCTTCAAGCTGCCAGGACTGCCAAGCCTGGGGACAGCCCCATGCAGCCTCCTCCATGCCTGGGGGACCACGAAGGCACCAGCACACTCACCTTTTGAGGTTGGTTCCCTTGGCTTCTGCTTCAGAGATTGTCTCTTTGTCTGTGATTTTTTCATTGAGAGCCTGGGAGGACACAGAAGAAAGCTCTGGTGTCAGCAAGCACAGGACCAAAGTACACAGATGGGGCTGGAGCAGGAGGTACACCCTGTTCCTCCCCAGCACTACCACCTTCTCCCAGGCACCCATCCCGTTCCCAGGGTGACACAAGGCTCCTTGTACCCACTTCTATTTTAAATCAACGTTTTATAACCTCACTGAAGCCCTTGGGGCTCCGCCACGCTCTCCACCCTCTCCTTCTCCCCAGCCCCTGGTGCTCCCCCTTGCAACCTCATTTCACGGGGGTGTTACCTGGGGTTCACACAACCTCCCATCTACCCCTTAGCATAGACCTGAGCCCAACCAGCACCTCCAGAGCCCCTCCACCTTCTCTTGCCCACCTCTTTCCAGTTGCTGCCGTGCTTCTCCATTTCAGAGTGCTTCAAGGCCCATGGGTTGGCTCCTTTCTGCAACTGGAGAACATGCCCATCACTCAAGGTGTGCAACATGTGCCCCTCTGGGCAAGCAAAAGCATTTTGCTGCTTGCCCCCCATGCATGCCCCGAGAGCGTTTACACGCTCTCGGGGCACGCATGGGGGGCAAGCGGCAGAGGCTGGAGGACACGTTGCCGAGGGGGGGGCCCCAGCCCTGGCTG